CACCGTCTCCCCCTGCAGAGCGCCTTGTCTTTAGTCACCCGCTGCTGGTCAGTGGAGTGCATGGCTAGATGCTGAATTCAGGTTCAGGAACCTGTCTCCCTGGCCTGGGAAGTGCAGCCTGAGCTCACTGAGGAGAGGGCCTCTGAGTGACTGAGAAGCCTGACAGCACTGCTCCGCTAAAAAGACAGCCACCTCTCGGCCTGGAGCCCCGATTCATCCTAACAGCGGAGGAACCATGGCCCAAAGTCCAGAGCAAGTACCGCACTGAACTCTGGGGAGGCCACTCCTCTCACCATTGTCTGGATTTGAAAAAGCCCAGGCTAGCCCCACCCCTGGGAATGTCTCCAGCTCAGTGCTTATCCATGGAGGTACCCACATTCCACCTCATCACCCCAATCATCCTGCCATGCTTGCTTTTCTACGAGGTGGGGTGGACCAATCTTTAGAGCTCCCAGTAATCTCCCCTGACCCATGACTCACTCAAGACACACTCTCTACTAGGAAAACCCACAGGGAGCTCCACCCCTAATCACCATGCCCTCCTGTGTGGGGCAGCTGTACTGGCTGTTATCGGTGATCTTATCAATATCCTTCCTGCAATGCAGGACAGCCACTGGCCCACAGAACCCAGCTGTACCTTAAACACAGGGCAGACAGCTCCTCTCCACTCCCTCTGCACCCATGTGGAGCCCTGACCTCCCCTATGGGGCTCAGTGAGGGGACAAGTTCACTACTTTATTTACATGCTTGTTTGGCAGGGAGCCAGCGGTCTGCTGGCCTCGGCCATCTGCGGGTCTATTGTCCATCATTGCTTTCCTAAGATGTGCGGTCTTCAAATGAGAACCCCGGGGAAATGAGGTTCCCCCACCCCAGAGGTTGGCTCTGCGCATCCTGAAGACCAGGGAGGGGCTTCAAGAGGTCATGGGGGTGGAGGCTTCACAGCCACAGCTTCACACACAACTTCTGGCTCCCTCTGATGTTTCCAACAACATCAAGAGCAGAGCACAGATGCAAAGGTGGCCTCTAGGTAGGAGATGGGACAGCTGCATTTTTAGGGAGGTCAGCCTCAGCTCAGGGTTTGAATTTACACTAAATGGTTTATTGATAAATTGGGTCGATATCAACACTCATGGCAACAAATGCAGGTGGTCTTTGAGGGGGAAAGAGTGAGACACAAAATGGTCCTCATACGGGTTAGGACTGAAGCCAGTCCACAGGAGGCCTCAGAGGCCCCGTAGAACCTCAGGGGTGAGGCCCAGAAACCCAGGCCAGGATCTCTGAAAAGGCAGCTTTGGCCCTGGCTTTAGCCGTGGTGACCATTGGACGCTTGTATATCCTGGAGCAGTAGGAGTTGCTGGCAAATGGGAAGGCTGCTCCATTGATGCAGTTTAAATCCAGAAGCTGCTTCATATGAGGGAGGCTTCTAGCATCTTAAAAAGTGCCGGGAGACTGACTGGGTGTGAGGAATGCGCTGCCCGGCTTTTGAAGAGGCTGGTCCTGTTGTCAGGGCCCTGTTTCTATTTAGCTGGGTGGCCGAACTGTCTGTGGCATCTTGGGCAGCTGCTGATGACACAGTGACCTACAGATGTGGCTTCTCTCACCATGTTCTCCTTGGGGAGAGTTGGGTAAGTGGGGATATCTGGTGAAGGGGGGACACCCAAGGGGGACACCCAAGGAGGCCAGGCATGCCTAGTGAAGCCGGGACGGGAAGAGCCTTGTGGCCGGTGGAGATAGGTCAGCCAGGGATGCCTCCAAGGCTGTGGGAAGGAGAGCATTGTGCACAGGAATAAGATATGCCCTAGTCACCTTTGCTGAGGTGTCACTTCCCATGGAAGTCACCTCAGCCCTCCCCCCTTCTCACCACATTGTCCCACCACTTAGTGGCAAAGACAGCCTGTGAAACATAAACCAAAAGCATCTTTCCAGTCCCCTAAGAGTCTTGGCACCCCAACAATGGGATCTTGGCCCAGATGCAATTTTTCTCGCTTTTAAAGCCATAACGGAGGAAACACAGTGTAAGAGGAACCGCTGGGGCTTATGATCCAATGGTCTAGGATGCATCTTGGCTTTGCTGTTTTCCAGGTGCATGACTTAGGAAAATTATGAATGGGCTCTGGGTCTCCGTATGTCAATAAAATGGTTGTAATAAAGAGCTCTTACAAAATGGAATGCGATGCTAAAGGGAAGGCTGTGCCTCCCGTGAGGGGCATGGAAGCAGGTTCTACCAGTAGGCGCTCTGTTGCCTGGAGGGGTGGCGGGGCTGGGGTGTTCTACAGCTGCCACTTGTGTGGTGCTGAGTGAGTTACCTTCTCTGAATCTCGGTTCTATCACCTTTTCACCTACCTCCGGGTGAAATGATACATGAGATAATGTGGGCCCAGTGACTAATGTAGGGCCTGCCCAGGGCACTGCCTCGTCCATGGTGGCTGCAATGACAACTAAGGCAATGTGACTTTAGAAGTACATGGCAGCCCCAACTCACTTAGAAGACTGTTATGCTGCTCAGCAGTCACTAACAGGACACCGAGGATGACATGCAACCACCTCCCCCGCTGGTCAGAGAACTGGGTTGTGTTGTGTCTATCTATCCAGTGAGCTGGGAGGCCACACCCATTCATTCAGCTGTCCTGACAGGTTTGGCCCTAACCCTACGCATATGACCATCCACACCATATGGTACCACATGTGGTCCTCGTGCTGGTCCTTGGGAAGGACTTGGCAGAGCTTCAAAAAATACAGAGAGGGATGATCCACTAGAAATGAAAGCTTTTCCAACTGGCAAGGCAGGGGCTGAGAGAAGTGGGAGGTTGGTCTGGTAGGAGACAGGGTATCTGGGCACAGAAGGGTTAGTGTAGACCAACCATGATGTGGCAGTGAGATGGTGGGATGTGCCATACAATGTTGGTTCTACTTCTTAACCAAATCCAAAGTTATGGAACTTTGGGCACCTCTTAAATTTCAAATAAACCTTTTAAGGACAAATACAAAGAAGCCCATTTCACACCGTGGTTCCTAATAAATAAACCTGGAGAGATTGGGCTGAAATGATGGGACGGTACAAGCAAGCCAGGGGATGACTACCCAAACACTGGGAATAACAGCGGCCACTCCAACTCCTTCACATGACCCAGGCCAGGAGCTGGGCTCTGTGTTCACACACTTACCAGCAATCCTAGGAAGTGGGCCTCACTTATCCTCTTCTAGAGGTGAGGTTTCAAGAAGTACGCCAATCTACCCAGGATCACACAGCTAGAAAGTAGCACAACTGGATTCAAGTCCAGGTTGGTTTGATCCCAAATCCCTGCTATCGCTGGGTTACTCTGATTCTTACAGGGACATCTGGATTTCTTCCATATATATATATATTTAGAGCACATTTTTGAAGCAGCTATTACAACCAAATGGTAGAAGATCTTGAACTTGACCTAGGAAGGCAGAGCTAATAATTTTCACGATATTAAGTGTTTAAGGTCAATGGTGAGGGAGATCAAACCTGAGTCCTTATTCCAGGACAGTGATTCTGCACACTGGAATCACCAGGCGGCACCCCAATCAATCAAATCAGAAATCTGGGGCTGGGATCCAGGCAGCAGGAATGCTGTAGGTGCTGGGATGAAACCATTGCCCTAGAGCAGGGGTCCTCAAACTTTTTAAACAGGGGAACAGTTCACTGTCACTCAGACGTTGGAGGGCCGGACTATAGCAGGGGTCCTCAAACTTTTAAAACAGGGAGCCAGTTCACTGTCCCTCAGACCATTGGAGGGCCAGACTATAGTTTAAAAAAAAACTATGAACAAATTCCTATGCACACTGCACATATCTTATACTCGGCGGGCCGGATAAATGTTTTCGGCGGGCCGCATGTGGCCTGTGGGCTGTAGTTTGAGAACCCCTGGACTATAGTTTAAAAAAAAAAACTATGAACAAATTCCTATGCACACTGCACATATCTTATTTTGAAGTAAAAAAACAAAACGGGAACAAATACAGTATTTGTATCTGCATGTGGCCCGCGGGCCGTAGTTTGAGGACCCCTGCCCTAGAGAGATGGTCTCAGCATCCACTCAAAGTATCCGAACAACAGTGCATGTGAATAGTGTTCCAGGTGGAACTTAAGCCGTCAGAGATGATGTGATTCTCATCTTAGGAGACCCTCCTACTGTTTTAGCAACCGAGTCCTGGCTAGCTCTTTAATTATTTTTAAAAGAAACAACTATAAGTGAAACCTAAGAAACAGTATTAATAAAAAAGAAGTCTTAAGCAAAATAGCTGAAAGATAATTTTTGTTAATGAACACTCGTGAAACAGCAATGAAATGGTATTAAAATGTCTGTGATTATTTCTCAGCATTCGTCTGATGACTAAGCAGCATGAAGCAGTAGTTGCACTTAAAAAATGACAAGAAAATAGCTATTCTTTTAGTCGACAGAGAAGGTTCATCTCCTCCTAAGATCACTAGTGCCACTGCTTATCACCAAGGCGAGCGCCAACGCTTGTCTTTATGCTGAGATGGTGTCCGCAGTTCCTGGAGCAAACCTCGGCGTCCTTCTGAGAGGAGTCTGGGACAGACTGTGGCCTGCTCCTCCCACTCTACATCAATGAGGCCCAGGTTGCAGATTGCTGTGTGGTGACTGCTAAGTTTGGACATGACAAGGGAGGCTGGATGAGCCTAGGCTGGGGGGGGGGGGGGCGGGGGGCGGAGACTGGGCCTGGGGACAGGTCCCACACTGTTCTGACTTGACATTCTTAGGCTGCACCCATTGAAGACCAGGGAGAGCAGGGTTCCTGCCAACAGCTTTGTCTGTCTTTCTGATCAGCCCTGTTTCCTTTCCATGGGGAAGGAAATGACATAGGAGTCAAGCAGGACAACAGACAGAAGAGTGACACGTCCCCGGCCTTCTGCCTATTGCACCATATCCCATAAAAAATAAACACAGTTTTACTATTTGTATATTGCTAGTGCTATGGCTTTCCAGGCCCTGGCAGGCTGCCGAGAGAGCTGCACTGCCGCTAGTTCACCAGAACCCATCCAGACAGCCTCGGGGTAAGCATCTTTGGAGCTTCCACTTGGAAGGGTTAGCAGTGCCCATCTGTCTCCTGTTCTACAACGTGTTGTGAAAATAAAGGGTAAAAGCAAAACAAATCGATGAGTAGAAAATTTCAGGGTGTTATGGAGTTGTTTGGCAATAATTTATACTACACAGCGTCACACAGGTGTTTCTCCCCTGCTAGCCCTGCTCGCTCTGCGTGGGCACAACACTGGCCCCGAGTTCTTCTCCTTCGTGCACGGAGGAAGCTCATAGGTGATTGTTCTTGGAGAGGTAGGCAATGAGGGCCACGGCCACGCCCACGTAGATGCCAGTTCCGATGGTGATGGAGAGCACAGCCAGGAACAGGGCCCGCCGAGAGCTGGTGCTGGCATGGTGGAAGTCCCCCTTGGCCACGGCTTTATTGGTCTGCAGAGTTGAAAAGAAAGGAGGGGGAAGAAAAAGAAAGTCAAGAGGAGCAAGTCAGGACAGATGAAGAGCTTGCGTGGCTCACTTCGGGCTCCCTTCCAACCTTGAACCTGACTGGTTCCAGGGAGCGAGGACTCGCCCAGGGGAACTGTGCCTGCTCTGAGCTGGGGAGAGCAGTTCTCTGGAACTGGCAAAAAAGGAATGGGGGACAGATGCTTATGACTGCATCTCCACTGCAAGGCACTCAAAGTATAAAGAAAAAAGAGCCTCAAGCAAACACCCATGGTCAGCAGTAGCCCAGCTGAGCACCATAAATGTGGGGCCCAGGGTCTCGGGCACCAGTACGCCAGGGATGAATAGCTACCACACCTCCAGTGCCCTGCTTTCTACCCAATAATGCCATTTCCTTTCATCTGAATAACACTAAATTGTCTAAAATATGTTCACACTTAATTTAATCTTTATAGCATAGGAGGAGTGTGGGGAAGGGTATTATGGTTCTCATTTCCTAGAAAAGACTGTGGCATGAGATTATTAAATTGACCGCAGGATACTTGAGACTCTACTCTTCAGCTGGTGGCCCTGGAATCATGCTTTCCTTTCCGTCTCCCTTCCTTGCACAGCTAGACTTGTTACAAGTAAGAGCAATAGCTAGACATCTGGTTGCTCAGTTACATAACATGGTGTTAGTTTAATTAGATTCATTTCTTATGATCGTGAGGTGGCAGGAACGTGGTTTTGGATGTTGAAGCTGATTTGGTATTTTTTGGTAGACCCACATATTCCCTCTCACCCCTTCCTTTCAGAAGGAAGGTTTCTGGCCTGGTCTCATTTCCATGTGTCACCAGTGGTATTTCTGCATTGTGTAGGCAGGTATAGGAGTCAGTATAATTTTCACTCAAATTGAAAACACCAAGGCCTTTGCAATGGACCACAAAGGGTGAAACTCCAAGAGGACTCACTAAATGAATTTCCATTCTCTGTGGTCCAGACCCCATCTGATGAGGTCTGCATCCCTGTGTCAGGTTGAGAAGGGACTTGTGTCTGCTTCATGGCTGCCCTCTCTTTCCCCTAATTTCTGGATCGTGAAGGCCAGTTTGTACGTCCTCCTCCCTTAATTTTTTGGCTTGGAAGTGAGCTGGGGATCTAACCACCAACGACTTCTAATGAAGCAGGGCTAAGGAAATGCAAAATGGGAAGTCTCCTAGGGCAGTAGTAATTAAGTCTTGATTAGCTGAGTTTCATTTTCTAGCAGTACTCCTACCCTCCAAGGTCCTAGAACATAATTCACTGTCACTGCCCATCTTCAGCCCAGCAGCCATCCTCCGTAAGGATGTCATTTGCTGCTATCTCTGCCATTAGCCCCTTCCTTGTCGCCATCCGCCCACGGCTCTGCTGCCGGAGCAGTACATACAGAGAGGAAGGCAAGGTGGACACTCTGCATTCCTTACCCCTGGACTCAGGCTCCTGGAGGGAATTCCTGTGTCTCAGAGGACTATCCCAGGAGAGTTCGCACATTTTAGCAGTGCCCTCTCACCCCCCTTTTCTGTTTCATTGATCTCCATGCCTGTTCTTATGCCAGTGTCAGGCTGTTTTGATTACAATGCTCTTGTAGGATACTTTGATATCGAGTAGTGTGATATATCCAACTTTATTCTTTTTCAAGATTGCTGCGGCTATTCAGAATCTTTTTTGGTTCCATATACATTTTTGGGATATTTGTTCTAGATCTGTGAAATATGCCATTGGCATTTTAAGAGGAACTGTGTTGAATCTATAGATTGCTCTGTGGACTGTGGACATTTTAATGTTAATTCTTCCCATCGATGAACACGGTATATGCTTCCACTTATTTGTATCTTCCTCAATTTCTTTCTTCCATGTCCTATAATTTCCCGAGTACAGGTTTTTGTTTTTTTTTACCTCAGTTAAATTTATTCCTAAGTACCTTATATTTTTTGTTGCAATAGTAAATGGGATTGTTTTCTTAGATCTTCTTTCTGATAGTTCATTATTAGTGTATAAAAATACACTGATTTCTGATTATTAATTTTATATCCTCCTACTTTGCCAAATTCATTTATTAGATCTATCCCCACTTACCTGGTTGTAAGGATGCTTAGAAAACCCAATTTTTAAATTCAAGAGCAAAAGTAAAACATTAGTGCTAAAGCTCATGAAAACAACAGATTTTCTTGAGTAATGTATTATTTAAACTGAGAAAATGAAAATCGTATAAACAGAGCACACAACAAGCATAGGAGTTCTTTGTCTAAAATCTCTACCACCAGAACCATGATGCATTTTCCAGCAGCAGTTGCTGAAGAGGTAAGACTTCTCTATCCCCTGTCTGTCCCTGCCCACCATGCCTCACTCCAAAGTGGCAGGCACCAAGGTTGGCAAGCTGGGAGGAGGAGAAGAGAGACCATACCCCTCCTTCCCAGTGTGCAGGCACGCCATTGGCAACTACTTTTTTTAAAAATATATATTTTATTGATTTTTTACAGAGAGGAAGGGAGAGGGATAGAGAGTTAGAAACATCAATGAGAAAGAAACATTGATCAGCTGCCTCCTGCACACTCCCTGCTAGGGATGTGCCCACAACCCAGGTACATGCCCTTGACCGGAATGGAACCTGGGACCCTTCAGTCCGCAGGCCGACGCTCTATCCACTGAGCCAAAATGGTTAGGGCGGCAACTACGTTTTAAAAGAACTGTGCTATATACCAACCCCCAGAATGGCTCAAATGGAAAAGTGACCCAGTACAAAATGTCAGCAACAATATGGAAAAACCAAAATTGTCATTCACTCCTGGTAAGAGTGTATTAGTACATTTGTATCACTACTTGGGGAAACTTCAGTACTTCTTATAGTTGAACATGTAGCTACATTATACAACTATTCCCTTGCTGGTAAATACTCTACAGAAATTATCCCTATGTTCACCAAAAGACACTGACAAGGATGTTCACAGCAATATTCATCATAGTAGCCCCCAGATGGAAAATCAGTCAAATGTCCAATAACAGTAAAAAGAACAAATAATAATGGTACCCCAACATGGAAATGAAATCAATCTCAGGAACATAATGTTGACCAGAAGAAGTCTAACACACGGTGCTATACACATAAAGCACAACATAGGCCAAAATAATCTATGCTATTTGTTGGCAAAGAAGTCAGGTTAGTGGATATCTATGGGGAAGGTCAATAATTGGAAGAAAGCATTGTTTAAAAAATATAATTTTGCACCCCAAGATAATTTTAGAAATGATTCTAGCAAGAATTAAGTGAACAGATAAGAAGCATCAATTAAGAATAGAGAAACTCATTTTATGAAACTATAGAAGAAAAGGAATGAGATGCTAATTTCCTTATAAACAGATGTAAATGCGGTTCATCAAGGTATGCCCCAGACTTTCATTTCCAGGCTGCTCTGTCGAGGCCCTTGTATTTGCAGTGGCGTTTTCATTCCTCATCAGCATTTGAATTCCGGACTCATCTCACCATGGTGTGGATGCTGAGGCCTGTTCGGCTCTGCTGAGTGCCTGGAAGGAGTTGGCAATCTAAGTGTGGGCATGAGGCAATGCTCTGCACGACAGGAGGGGTGCTTGCTGCTTCTCAGGGAATACAGGAGGCAGGGGCTGGGGGTGGCGAGAAAGGCCAAGGTGACTGAGGCTGGACAGAGCCTGCCCAGGTGAGTGCTGTGGAGGAGCTCTCTGTGATTGGTGGAGATGTTTCATGTCTGTGCTGTCCAGGCCACTAGCTGCCTGTGGCTATTAAACACATGTGCTATAGGGTCATGAGAAAACATGGCAGAAGGTCCCACAGGGAAGAGACGTGAGGGAGAAGGAACCCAGTGCTGCAGTGAACCAAAAAAGAAGGCAAAATGCCTAAAACTGAGGTCCAAGGAGTCTACCGGGCTGTGCACTACATGTGGGGCGCCCCCCAGGCCCCTGGGAAACTGTCACACACGCCTGCCTTGTGAGGATTGTGTGTGAGCTTATTTTACCGCCCACCAATTTGGTTGAGTGTCTGGTTGAGACAGTGAAAGATCTGTAAGAGGAAGGAAACAGGTGACCCACGACAAGGGAAAGCCCCTTGGATTTGCAGATAACTTGGGGAGGCCTTTGGTCTTCTGCATGGCCTGGCATGAGCTTACCTGTATTTGGGGTGCATACAGGGCTCCTTTACATTTAGAATTGGGAGATGCACTGACCCCGGCCATCGTGACCCTGAGGCAAGGACTTCTGAACAGAACTCGCTCCCCTCGTATGTGACCATCTCCCCTTCTCAAGCCAGCCCAGAGCTGCTCTGAGGGGCCTGGCTCAGTCTCTCTCAGATGGACCAGGAACCTTGGGCTAACGTTTCTCTTAGCTCTGGATTCAGTTTCCCATGGCTTTTGGCCAAAGTCTTCATTTATGTGTGAGTTTGGAAAACACCCACTATTTTTTAAAAATATATATATTTTTATTGATTTCAGAGAGGAAGGGAAAGGGAGAGAGAGATAGAAACATCAATGACGAGAATCATTGATTGGCTGCCTCCTGCACACCCCTACTGGAGATCGAGCTCACAACCTGGGCATGTGCTCTTGACCAGAATCAAACCTGGGACCCTTCAGTCCGCAGGCCAACACTCTACCCACTAAGCCAAACCGGCTAAGGCAGAAAACACCCACTATTGTTTGAGGTTTTGGATAAATGATTTTCCCCTGAGATATGTCCCTGCTGTTTTGTTTTTCTTGTACACTTATTCTAGGGATAAGGTTGGATGTTTCCAGGTTCCATTAAATCCAGAGATATATTCTCTCTGCTCCTGTCCAGCACTCGGGTCCAGGCACAGCCAGGAGGGCCTTAACAGAAAAGCCCGTGCTGGACCCCAGTCTCTGAGATGTTGATGGGCTCCCCAAGACACTCGTTGCCTCTGCAACCTTCCCTTCAGAAATGTATAGCACACTGGGGGCTTGGGGGCTCATTTCCCTCCAGTACCCATCTCT